AGGATTGGGGGTTGGAGGTGGGGGGGTACCCGGAGGCTTGGGCTCTGGTTACTATAATCATCAGGGTTTGTATGGCGGTTCTTAAAGGTCTTTTGGTTTTGTTTTATTTTCCCTCATTTGGGCTTCTGTTTTCTTGATGAGAGAAGTAAGGCTCGGGTGGTGATGGAGGTAGGGGCAGAGTGATCTCTCACATGAGCATGCACACACGCACACGCACATGCACCGGGCAGGGGTGGAACCAGCCCCTTCCTCCGTCCCAGCACGGGAGCCCCCTGACCTGCCCCCCCTCCCCAGGATGGTGTATGTGTGGGTCTAATCCAGGTCAGGCCTCAGGCCAGCCTTGGTCCCTGACTCTTGCCTGCCATCTTCTTGCAGAAATTGTTAGATGCCCATGAGGAGCAGAACATTGACAGCTACACCGAGGCGGTGAGTGGCCGGGGCCAGGGCCAGGGTGGGGGGCGCCCTGCGCAGACACACTCTGCCATGAATCCCACCCTTTCTCCGGCCCCCGTCCTGGCTGTGAATCCCTTTCTCCAGTCACCCCAGGATCCTCACAGGGAGCCCCAGAGGTACAGGAGGTGTCCTTCCCCTGTTAGAGATGATGGCACTGGGGGGAGGTGAGGAAACTCGTCCTCTGCCCCTTGGGGGCAGAGCTGGGAGGCAGACCCGTGTCTGTCTGTCCCTGAAGGCCAAGGTCTTTGCACCAGTGAGTGTCCCTGGTGAGCAGTTGGGAGGAGCAGGGAGGGAGAGAGACGAGCCGTGGAAGGGGAGGGCCCCCTTCCGGCACCAGCCTCCTTGGTAGAACCGCCCCACAGAGGTGTCTCTCCCTTTTCTTACTCTCTTCTAAACAATCTGGAACTTGGTTGGGCCCAGCTCCGGTCCTAATCCAGTCGTCTAGACTGCATCTGTCAAGTATTCGTCTCTTGGGTGTCCCTCAGAAATCCTACACCACCACCAATGATAGAGACCAAAGTCCCTCTGGTCCATCCTGCCCCGGACGGTGGGCGGGACGTCAGGAAGCTCAGCCACAGAGAAGGCAGGAGCGGGGCCAGGGCAGGGCGACAGGGCTCAGTTCTCTCTCTGGCCCTGTCCCCGTGGCACTTGGAACAGGCCTTCACATCTCCAGGCCTGTTTCCCATCCATGAAACAAGGAAGCTGGACCGTTTTATGCTGCAGCATCCTTTCTTTGTCTTGAGGCAGCCTTAGAGGGAGCCCCCTCTCTTTGCTCCTCCTCAGGGAGGCAGGCTGGGACACATGTAGAGAATCTGGGGACCAGAGACTCTGGGCTTGGGGACAAGGATGGAGCCAGGGCCAGGTACAGGACCGGCTCCCCTGTCACCTTCCCTTCCCTGTGTGTCCCAGGTGAAGGAGTACGATGCCATCTCCCGGCTGGACCAGTGGCTCACCACCATGCTGCTTCGCATCAAGAAGACGATCCAGGGGGAGGAGGAGGACCTGCGCTAAGCCCCACCCAGCCCCCTGGCACCTGTCTTCCTGCCCCGTGTTCTCTACCCCCGCGCCCCTCCAGCGCGTGAGCCCAGAGAGAGAGATGGGGCCGAGACCTTGGCTGTGAGACCTCCCTTCCCTTCCCACAGAGGAGTCTCCCCAAGCCACAGTGCGGGCTCAGCCCTGCTTTGGGGCCCCTGAGGCCGGGCCTGCTGGCCAGACAGTCCCCCTCTGTTCTTGCTGCATCCGTCGCCTCCTGCCCATTTATTTAAGCCCCTCAAAGGTGCCCCTTCTCTGCCCCAAAACGTAGACTCTTTGATACAGACCTATTTGCTGTGGGTGCTGCCAGGGGTGGAGGTCAGCATCTGGTCCCCCATCTCCTGACCAGCAGAGGCACGAGGCTGGTTTCTGTCGTTCCCACTTGTCCTCCAGCCGAGCTCTGAGCACATGCAGCTGCTGAGATTTGCTCTCTCCACGGGGGTGGGCTCCTTCCCCTCCAGTGCCGGGAACCCCTCCCCACCCCCACCCCCAGCCTCCTGCAGCCCTGACCTCTCAGGATAGACCGCAGGCCCTGGAGCTCAGAGGGTCATCCCTGCACCCACCCCTACATCTGCCTCTTCCCTAGTGCTTTGAGGTTTTGTGGTCGGAAGCTGCAGCTGGCCTGAGAAAGAAAATAAAAAAGAACACTTTGCATGAGTCTCTCTTCTTCCTCCTCACCTCTGCTGCCCCCTTCTCCCTTCAGGGCTAGTGTCCTGTCTTCGTACCCGTCCTGGTCCCTGCCTTGGGCTCTGGGCACACTTGGTGGGAAAGAAGAGGGCGAGCATAACTGAAGACGGGGCTGGGGTCAGAGGTCCTGGGGGAGGCCCGGGGATGGGTGAGCTCGGGAGTCTGGGAGCGCCTGGCTTGATCCTATGGCCTCTGGGTTCTGCGGGCCTCAGTTTCCTCCGCTGGGACGGTGGGTGGCAGTACCAGCCCTCAGCTGGCTGGAGAAGGGAGGGTACGGACAGTGGCGGAAAGGAGAGTGGAAGAGGCCCCTCACGGAAGGAGTGTTGGAAGCCCCAGTGGTACTTGTTCCAGGCACCCAGGATGAGGGGGGACACGACTTAGGTGGGCAGGGCACGAAGACCAAACAGGTATGGCAAATGGAAGGGGGGACGACAGGAGCCCTCTGCCTGGGAAAGGTGGGCAAGAACCACCTGCCTCCGCCACGTGCCACAGTGGAGGCTTGCGTGGAGGTGAGCAGTCTGACACGCGTGGGCTGTGGGGGGACGGAGCTGGAGGAGGCTCAGAGTCACCACGGGATGGGGTGTCAAAGTGAACGGGGGGCAGGATGAGAGGAGGGGCCGCCTGGGAGACCCAAGTCAGGCTCCTCGAAGAGGTGCTCCAGGCTAGAGCCTGGAAGAAGTCCCAGAGAGGTCCAGGTTCACCGTGTCGAGAGAGTGGACTGCAGCACCGTGCCCTGCTCCTGTCCCCTTGAGCTCCTCCCACAGCTCAGATGGATCGGTTGATGATGGCTGCCTAGGGCTCAGGACTCCTGAGACCGGAGATCAATTACCGATGTCTGCCACAGGCACCGGCTGAAGACTAAGGAGCGCCAGGATCTGTTTCTGCCACCCGTGACCTCAATAGTGAGTCTCAACCCTGGCTGGGCTTAAAATCACGTAAAGTACACAAGCTTGGGTCAAAACGTGATAAATTGTGATTTGGGTGAAGCCCCCCCCCTCTTTTGGGAGGTTCTGGTTTTTGCTTTTTTCCTCAAAATTCCACAGCTGAGTCACATGTCTCGCAAGGGGTGGAAATCACTGAGCAGGACGATTCTTTCCTTCCCAACCTATAACTTCATTTATTCATTTGACAGATGTTAAGTGAATGTAGCTTAGAGATTACCACGTGAGGGAGAAGCAGCCTGAAGAAAACATTCTTCAGAAGCAGAATTAGACCCCACATTTAATTGACTCAGCGAGTATCCGCTAAGCACCTACTGTATACCACGCCTGGTCTAGGCCCTGGGAATATAGCATGAAACCACATAGCTAGACCCTGCCCTCCAGGAGGATTTGGCCACCAAATCCCGAAGTCGGGAATGGACACAAACTCCCCTTAACCACCCTCCAGATCCCATGTGCCTTTGAGAACTTTCCCCTTATGTCTTATATAACAATGTCCCTGGTGCTTGGCAAAGGGGCTGGCATGGAGTCTGTGGATTTCTTTCTCTCTCTCTCTCTCTTTTTTTTTTT